TCTTCTCTCTCTCTCTCTCTCTCTCTCTCTCCTCTTTTTCTGCTTACATGTGGATGGATGTGAAATTCAGTACCCTGATTTACCCTCATGGATGTTTCTTTTCAACCACAGAACATGGCCTGAGGGTACAGGGTTTAAAATAGCCAGGCAGCATGGTTAAAAAGATCTCTGCGGAGGCTGAGGCTGAAATTTGACAATTCAGAGCCAGGCCTCAGCAATTTAGCAAGGCCCTGAGCAACTCAGTGAGACCCTGACTCTAAATAAAATACATCAAGGGCTGGGGATGTGGCTCAGTGATTAAGCACCCCTGGGCTCTCAATCCCAGTTTAAAAAAAAAAAAATCCCTGGGTTCTGTGTCAGAAAGTCTCTGGGATAACCAAGAGAACTCTTGAGAGACTTGGAGCCTTTGAAGATCCATCTGACCCATACCTCTTGGTTTCCTTTCGGCTGCATCTAAGGAAACCATCCCCATGGGTCTCACAGACAGGTGAGGACTCTACAGTTAATTGAAAACCTCCAGCACCCAATTTTGGCCTCCTTATTAGCTGGTCATCCATACCTTTGCATCTGAGGGTTTTTGTTTTTTTTTTCTCTCCTTTAGAAAGCCAGGGCCTTCTGCATGCCAGGCCAGTGCTCTACCGAGCTACATCTGCAACCCCAGAGTCTTAGTTTTGCAACTCTGAAGTCAAGACAAAAATCAGTCTCCTGGAGGTGTTGAGAAGATTGTGGAGGTAATAAACTTACAACACTAAGCTCAGTGATGTCACGGCTAATTTCAGGCCCTGATAGAACGCCATGGGGAAGGAAAAGGTGTGAAGGTTGAATAGCTTAACTGAAAACAGCCGGGAAGCCGGTTAATAAGGAAGTGGATGAGAAAGCTGGTCTTTTCAAGCTCAATTAAATATCTCTGAGGCAACCTGAGGTTGAGGTCAGAAGCTGAAAGACTAAGTGCACTGCAGGGCTAGTTAGAGTCCCGTCTCCAAGGCTCTCCATAGCTGTGTTTGCACACAAAAAGGTACCTGGCCACCAAGGCTTTTAATACCAAGTGCAAAGGGAAATGTCTAAGCCAAAGAAACACAATGTAGATTTTTCTCTGCAGAAAGTCATCCTCAAGTTTGATTTGAGTATATTTTACAGGTTGGGTATTATGGGGAGAACAAGGGCCCAACCCCAGTGCAAAGTTGATTCCCTCCCTTTATAA